AAAAAAAAAGAACTGTGAGACTGCAAACTGCTGCAACCACTTTGGAAAGCAGTATGGAGATGCCTCAGAAAACTTGGAATAGGACCACCATTTGACCCAGCTATCCCACTCCTTGGCAATATCCCCAAAGGACTCAAATCAGCATACTACAGTGATACAGCCACATCACAATGTTTATAGCAGCTCAATTCACAATAGCTAAACTATGGAACCAACCTAGATATCCTTCAACAGATGAATGGATAAAGAAAATGTGGTACACATATACAATAGAATATTACTCAGCCCTAAAGAAAAATGAAATGACGGCATTGCAGGTAAATGGATGGACTAGAGAATATCATGCTAAATGAAATAAGCTAATCCCAAAAAAACAAAGGCTGAATGTTTTCTCTGATCAGTGGACACTGATCCATAGTTGGGAGTGGTGGATAGGGAAGAATGAAGGAACTTTGGATTGTGCAGAAGGGAGTGAGGGATGGGGTGGGGCTGTGGGGATGGAAGGATAGTAGAATGAGACAGACATTATTACCCTATATACATGTATGATTACACTACTTGTGTGACTCTGCACCATGTACAGCCAGAGGAATGAGAAGTTGTGCTCCATTTGTGTATAATGTGTCAAAATGCATTTTACTGTCATGTATGACTAATTAGAACAAATTTTAAAAAATAGAAGAGAGACCAATAGAACAGAAGAAGGGGATCAGGGGAGGGAGGGGAGGRAAAGGGGAGGCACTGGGGAATGAAATTGATCAAATTTTAAAAAATTAGAATTGTACATTTTATTGTATATAAATTTTCATCAAAAGAAAAAACTATATACAAATATGGAATTCTTGGGCTGGGGATGTGGCTCAGGTTGAGTGCCCCTGAGTTCAATCCAAAAACCAAAMCAAAACAAAACAAAACCCCCACTAAGCTGTGCCCATTTTTATTTTTGGTACCCTGAGGTACCAAAACCACTGAGCCACATCCCTAATTCTTTTTATTTTTTATTTCGAGACAGAGTTTCACTAAGTTATGTAGGACCTTGCTAAATTGTTCAGGCTGACCTTGAATTTGTAATCCTCCTGCCTCAGGCTCCCGAGTCACTGGGATTATAGGCATGCACCCAGCGAAACTGTGTACTTCAAATGAGTGAATTTTATGGTATGTGAATTATTTCTTAAGAAAGCCTTTAAGGGAGGAAGAGAGAAGGGAAGAATAAAAATCCCTCACCAGCTCCTGACTAGTCACCCACAAAAGATCACRGGATCACCGGAGAGAAACGGCTTACGTACCCCACCCAGCTGCTGGATGGCTCCCGTCAAAAGCTGGAGATTCTTGCCAGCAGGCAGATCCAAGTAAAAGGACTTTCCAGAAAATGGCTGTTTCCTAGCACCTCGTGAGCTTTTCTGGTATTTTCCCAGACAACTGGAGATGCCCAGCCGAGCCCCTAAAAAAATAACAAAGAGGAGCACAGTAAGAAGTTTGGGGTAAGAAAGAGTTCCTCAGTGACAACCCTCAGTGACAGTCCAGTCTGTGCGCTACGCCTTGTGCTAGGCTCTGGGAACACAGAGACACCTTCAAAGCTAGTGTACTTAGCTTCAAGAAACTTAGATGTGGAAAAACCAGAGCTCTTCTTACACTCTGCTGGTGGAAATGCAAAATGGTGCAGTCACTGTGAAAAAAAGAGTTTGACACTTTCCCAAAATGTTCAACACAGAGTTAACACGTAATGAAGCAATTCTATTCCAAGATATGTACCCAAGAGAAAAACATATCTAGATAAAAATTATGCACAAATGTTCATAACAGTATTATTTATGAGAGCCAAAAAGTGGGAACAATTCAAATATRAATGAATAAACAAACTGTAGTATATCCATACAATGGAATATTACTTAGCAATAAAAAAGAATAAAGTATTGATACATGGTACAAAACGGATGACCCTCAAAAACGTGCTAAGTGAGGAAAATTAGACACAAATATTATATTGATTCCAATGACATGAAATGTTCAGAAAATGCAAATATATATGGAAAAGGTAGATTAGTGTTTACTCAGGTCTGGGAGTAGGAATAAGGAATGACTGCAAAAGGGCATGATGTTCTTTTGGGGATGATGAAAATGTTCTCAAATTAGATTTTAGTCTTAATTATACGACTCTGAAAATTAACTAAAGACCCACAGAGAGTAACACTCCATTTGTGTACAATATGAATTTTATTTATACCTCAACATAGCTTTAAAATAAAAACCCAGAGAAATACCCTTAAGAATTGTGCACTTTGGAGGGCTGGGGATATATCTCAATTGGTATAGTGCTTGCCTTGCATGCACAAGGCCCTGGGTTAATC